GCCCAGGAGCAATTGCTCGGCCAGGGTTGACGAGCTGGCGCCGGCTTCCCTGAAGTGGCTCTGCGATTCGAATCTGCGTCCAGCTGCCGGGACCCTCGTGTGGCGCGGAGGCGTCCACCGGGCAGGGACGGGAGAGGGACGGGCCAGCGGTCACGACAGTCTGCGGCCGCGGGGCGTCTGGCTCTGGGAGGACGCTCAAGCTCTCGGGGGAAATACACCACGAGTCCCAGAGGAGGAGGTCAGCTCCCTCCCACGCGTGGCCTTCAGAGCGGGCCACGGCCGGCGAGCTGACCCGGCCGCCGGAGGAAGCACAGCCCCCGAGGCCGCGGGGCCGTCCGGAGGACACTCACCTGGGCCACCGTGTGCCAGGGGCCGGCGTCATCCTCGCTGGGGTGGATTCCGTAGTTGCATCTGCTCTGCAGGACGTAGATGACCGGGTCGATGGAGACGTTGAATTTCGAGGACCATCTGATGTCCAGGTGTCCGGGCTGCGGCTCGGTGAAGCGAAGCTCCTTCTTGGGCTTCAGGGGCACGCCTGCAACAGGACGCGTGCGTCAGCCCGCGAGCGGGTCCGAGCGAGGCCGCGGGGGGCGCTGTGGCCCTCCCCAGAGCCGTGTCTAGGGTCTAGGGCGCTCTCGGGGATACCTGGCGGGTGGGTGGGGGTGCTGCTGGAGGTCGACCTGGAATTCGCAGCAGCTGCCACTGGTGGGTTGCAAGGTCCCCAGGCCGCCCTGACTGCGTCTTGTAAGATGTGTTTAGTGATGCATGTAAGAACTGGGGTGCAGAGCACAGGTGTGGGCTGCGTGAACCCCCCGAGACTGCAATGCCCTGCTGCGGGGAGCAGCGGGGAGACTGGGGGGGTCTGCTGCCCCAGGGGTCCCTCCCTGGCTGGGGATCGTGCCGTGCATCGCTGCACAGAGCTGTGCTTGAACCTGCTGCGTCACCTGCTGAGTCACCAGGCTGGGCCCTGCTTTCCTTTAAAAATAATAGTAATAATAATATAATAGTTTATTTTTACATCACTTTGCACCTTTTTCCATGTCAGCTGACATCTCCGTGGGCTTCCCGCCACCAAATCACTCGCGTGCCATCGCCATAGTCCAGTGCACTTCCCCCTCCCACTGTTGTTGATCCCATTCCCCACCCCACTCCCGTAAAATGTCTCTGGTATCTGGCTGTTCGTTATTGTTATTATTATTTTCCTCTGGTGCTTTATGCTCCTGCTGTGAGCGAGACCATCCGGTATTTCTCGTTCTCTTTCTGGCTTAGGTCGCACAGCACGATCCCTTCCAGCTCCATCCATGTGGCCGTAAAAGGCACGAGCTTGCCTTTTTGACGGCTGCGTACTATTCCATCGTGTATATGGACCACCTCTTTTTGATCCAGTCATCTACTTGTGGGCATTCGGGCTGCTTCCACGTCTTTCCTACTGTAAGGAAAGTCTCGGTCCCACAGCACGGGGCTCTCCAGGCCGGCCTGTCTACACGGAATTAATTCAAACACGTCGACTTTACCAACGGGTGCGCCCTAGAGTTCAAAG